CTAGAAGTAGCTTCCTCTCCTGAAAAAAAACCAGAATAAAAAGCCCGCAATTTTTCGGCTTCTTGCAGCTATTGGAATCAGAGAGCCCTCAGATGTTCATCAGCGCAAAGGGATGCAAAATGTCATGATTGGTATCCAGCAAAGGCTATATCTCCGTAGGTCCGTAGCCGTTTAATCCTAATATTCAAACTAGACGGGAGGCTTGATGGGAAAAACCAACCACCCTCTTCATTTCAGCAACTTAGAGACACAAAGGATAAAGGAGGAAAGAATTTTACTAACTGATATTAAAAATTCATCTAAAGTATTCTAGCCCAGATGAGTGCAGCCTTTTGAAGTGTTCAAGCCTCTGGAATAATGTAATGTGGTTTAAAAAAAAAAAAAAAAAAAAAAAAGTCAGAATCACATTGACTTAAATCCTGTTTTCATCTGCTCCTTCTCTTTACACGTATTCTACAGTTTCCTAGCAAAATCACAACCACACCGCTTCACGTTTTGGACAATAAATAGCCGGTCTCATGTCACAGCACGGGGCTTCCATCTCACCGATATGTATACATAGACGAATATATATATATATGTATATATAGATAGATAGATAGATAGATAGATAGATAGATAGATAGATAGATAGATAGATAGATAGATAGATAGATAGATACATTATCACCTATTATTTAAATTATTTAGCTAACTATTGTAGCACTACATCCTATTGCAATCTTATGGAAGCATACTTAGGGGTTTTTGGGTTTATTTTTTTTTAAAGTATATATATAGCTCCTTTCCATAACAGACAAAACGGCAACCAGAAAAGAAACGCCTTTTAAGAACGTCTGAGCCCGAAATATTTAAAATCCAAATAATCAGCAGATTTTTTTGAAGCTGCATTCCTGGCAAATTTTGCGACAAATTATCGCCTTGTGCCCCTATTTGCATTGGTAAAGGCGGGAGGAAGGTGCGCTTTTCGTTGGCAGCAACATTTCAAATTCCCTAATGCTACGTTTTTCTCATAAACCCTTGTAGACTGTAATCAACCTTCAATTTTACAAAACGCTGTCCTAATTCCTTAGATATTTTCTCCTGCTCCAGTCGTAATACCTCTCGCCCTCCCTATGAGAGAGAAGCAGCAGAAATTGAAGCCAGCGATCCTGTAATATTTTAATTAGCTTCTCTTGACGCGAATTCCTTCTAGCACACGTTTCCCCGGTTAATTAGAGGCACCCACCCTACTGGCAAGGTAAATGGTCGGCTTCAAATATTTTTCAAGCAAAGCCCTGTGCAGAAAGACAACAATTTAGATACAATAGAACTTGACCTTTTGGAGAAGCTGTAGTGAGTTAAACAGTTCCCTGTGCACGCCATCTGTATACGTAAAAGCTAGACTATCGAGGCGTCCTGGCTCTGTTTATATTCTTCCAAAGAAGAGATGTAGCTTTTTCTCCTCCCTTTGTTTAGCTTAGCTGTGGGTAACAGTCTCCCCACCTCTTGGCCACACTTCTCCTTTGCAAAACTGTCCTACAGCAGAGATTCCAAATTCAGAGCCGTTTTACCCTCTCTAATCCGGTCGAAATACATGGGAAGGCGTAACGAATGCATTTTGCTTCTCCAAACGAAATGTCTGCCTTTGTTTATGTTGTTCTCAGTGAGGTTAGCGAAGGGAAGGCTCGGTTTTCCCCCTTCCTCAACGCGGAAGTCCCAATTACTGTATTAAAAGAGCAATTCAACATTAGACCAAATAATCAACATTGATAATTGTGCTGAACACAGCAACTTAACAGCAGGCTCCCTGCAATTACCCACACATTCCGGGACTTTAAGCGTACATTATCTCTTGTTTCACTTAACAGCAAATAAAGCAGAGAACAGCTTGTGCCTTGGGTGTCTACTCGCTCCCAGACAAGCTGTGCCCCCCTCGGTTTTCCCCATCACCCTTCCCGCTTGCTGTGCAGGCGGCACCCGGAGGCATTTTGGGGTCCGTCTGCGTTACAAACCCGCTTGAAGAAATAGGCTGCTTGGTTTGGAGAGGTGGAGGAGAGAGCTCGAGCGATTCAAAAGCAGGCATCGGGGCTGCACGTGTGCATGCTCTGCAAGCACATATATGCCCAGACACACGCACACCCACACTCACACACACACCCACACACACACACACTCCTATTTCCAGTCGCCTTCTCGCCCTTCTTGCCTTAATTTCCCTTTGTTTCCAGAGGCAGCCCCGACCTCTGGCACGGCGAAGCCTCACACGGCGCCGCAGCCCCGGCCGCAGAGAGGAGAGGCAAAGAGCCCCGTACAAACCTGTGCCAGCTCTGTTCCCCATTTCTAGCCCCAAGGTTTGAAATTTATTGAAATGCAAGAGGGCGGCTGCAGTGAGTCCGAGGAGGTGGCGTCCCGCGATTAAGTGTTGGGCAGCTCTGTCATGTCTGCTCTGACACAAGCTGAAGTTGACTGCCAAAGTGCTATAAAACCGCAGGTCAGTCTAGAACTGTTTTCGGTTCCCCTAGACGCGCCGTGTTCAATTATAGCCTTAAAAGCCCTAATACAAGTGCAAGAATTTGTTTGCCATCACACAGAGGCGGGGCGAGGCTCGGCAATGGTGGCGCCTTTGTTATCTCAAAGTCACTGAAATCCTTATACATTACATTCCTTCTTGTTCGAAGGGAGGAGTGTCTGCGTGTGTGCAGGGTGTGGGGAGAGGTTTTTCATCGACGGGATCGAACGGTGCGGGTGTACAGGGAAAATAACCAATGTTCGGACACCAAAAGAGGGCTTCCGACCCCCCAGCCTACTCCACCCACTACCAACACCACGACCACCCCATGCAAAAAGCTAGGGGGAAAGTAAATGCTAGAAAAATTACAGCGTTAAGAAAAAAGACAACCAGAGCTCTTGTATACCCCTCCCCACCTCAAGTTAAAAAAGAAAAAAAAAAAAAAAAGGAGGGGGTGAAAAAAAAAGGAGAGAGAAGGAAAGCCCCCAAACCTTTTTACAATCCCTAAACGACATTGCAGTCTTCTGCTAGCGGTTTTGACGACATGCAATCTCTTTCCATCCACTTTCTAGCAAAYATGTCAAGCTGGAAGATTAATTCATTAATTTCAAGTTCAGCTCACAGACGTGCAGTAAGCATAAGAAGTTCTTTCAGCAAACCAAAATAAAGAGTTCATTACAGGGATACGTCCAGACCATTTGATTTGTGAACGGTAACCCTTGTAAAATAAGAAAAAGGCATATAAACATTAATGCTAATAAATTAGTTTACTCCACTACAAAGTAATTACTTGATAATATTGAATTTACAGCTTGAATTCAAACGCAATAGTTAAGTATAATGTAGGGGAAATACATAATGAGAATATTTTCTCTCTGCACAACATGATTAGATTTGTTATTGGGTCGGTTACGATAAGCTAAGCAATAAATAAACAAATCGATGTTGACATTTAAATACCGAAGATCTCCAGAATTTACTAGAGAACTTTCTCCGGATATATAAATACTTCCACAGCACTGCAGAGGAAGAGGGGGGGAAATCCAAATATTATTTCCCTAACATTTTCGTTTCCCTTCCACTAGCCTCCCAAGTCCACGGGGGCATGGATCTTGAACTAGRTCTAATTTCTAAGAGTACCGACTGCACAACAGCCTTTTGCCATTCTGTTTTTCTATTTTGATGAAATCCAGCCGGAACTCAAATATTTCTTTTCTGAAATCGAGCATCAGAATAGCAAAAAAATATTTTTTCCGAGAGCTTAAGGATGTCCGTGCCTCAAAAGGTGCTGTATTCTTTGGCGTATTTCTCTGTTTTCTTTGGCTCTGATCATTCGGTGGGGTGTGCATTTTTATTGGCAGAAAAGTACTTTTTAGTCACTGCCCCGTACAATCCGCTTTCTATATCATCCCTTTCATGCAACAATAGTAAAAGTTTAACCACGTTTTTAAAATAGGTCTCCCTGGGTCTCAGCCTTCAGCGACGATACAAAGCTAAAAAGGAAGAATCTCGGTACGGCGAGTTTGTTCCTACGGGTTAACAGTACGTCAAATAATTTTAACTAGGCTTCTGGCAATTAAACTCGGAGTACTTGTCAAGCCGGAGTAGCCCAATATCCATTGGTTTCCCAAGTATTTAGCTGCAGCGTTGAGGCGGAGAGATCAGCAAACCGTCTTTAGCTCCGTGGTCTGCACTTTAAAGGGCTTGCTGGCTTTCTGGCGTTGCGAATGAGGCAAGGGGCGATTTGGAGGGGGTGAAGAGGGAAAACCTGCGTTCTGGGAGCCCGACATTGTTAACTACCCTCAGCAGAGCTTGGCTGAAGCCGCGCCGGGTATTTGAGGTTAATATGTAAGTAAGGGAAGGAAGACACTAAGCGCTTCGGAAGTGAACATGAATGCAAGCATGTAATCTATTCACCATGAAAATCAGTAAAGACTTGACCCTGGCACATTCTTCTTAGTAAGGTTTCCAGAAAAACTCTGAAGGGTGAGGGCTTTTTTTCTTTTTTTAGGGGGGAGGATGGAAAGCCCAAACCGGAAAAAAAAAAAAAAAAAACCAAAAAAAACCAACAACAACAACAAAAAAAGACAGACGTTTTCTTCAGGAACATTTCCTCCTCGGAAGCAGCTTTCCAGAAGAAAGCGTGCGTGCATCTCTACGGTGCCCTGCTTCTCGGAGCCTGCCACAGAGCCGCCGAACGCCCCAGCGAGCCCACAAACAAACAGAAAGGTCTCACCTAACCCTGGGGGGAATTGATAAGCCTCTCTGCTCCAGAGCCAGAGGGTGCCAGGGATCGGGCGGCTAAGTCTGGGGCAGTGGCAGGGAGTCTGTGTGTCCCCCAGGGCTCCCCCCGGGCCAACCTGCGCTCGGCTCGCCCCTGGGCGCTGGCGACGAGCTGTTGCTTTCCCCCGCGACGGCCACAAAGGGAGCGGGGCCCGGGCCCGCCGCTCGTCAATGTCAACGTCGGGCCACGTGACCGCACCTCCCTGCCGCCGCCGGGAGAGCTCTCCACGTCAGCCTACGTCTCCCCATCTCTTACTTCACGGATCCGCTTCAAAGGGGCAGCTGCGTTAGAGAATCATGTTAAGCTCAGCTAATGCAGAGAAGCCGAGGTAGCCCTAATGATGGATTTTGATGAGCGTGTTCCTTGTTCCTCTAACATGTATTTGCCAAGTTGTACTTACTACGTCTCGGGTCCTGATTTTTCCAGCCTCCCTTCTTTTTTGCCCCAAACCCCGTCTTCTCGCCCTATGACATACTCCTACTCCTCCAACCTACCCCAGGTCCAACCTGTGAGAGAAGTTACCTTCAGGGAATATGCCATTGATCCCTCCAGTAAATGGCACCCCAGGAACAATCTGCCCCACTGCTACTCCGCAGAGGAGATCATGCACAGAGACTGCCTGCCTGCCACCAACACTGCTAGCATGGGCGAGATGTTCGGCAAAAACACAGCTAACGTCTACCACCCCAGCACCAACGTCTCCTCCAATTTCTATAGCACGGTGGGCAGAAACGGGGTGCTACCCCAGGCTTTCGACCAATTTTTCGAGACGGCTTATGGCACGGCGGAAAACCTGGCCTCGGCGGACTACCCGGTAGACAAGAGTGGCGAGAAGGCGCCCGCGGCCGCCGGGGCGGCGGCGGCGGCGGCGGCAACTTCAAGTTCGGAGGGCGGCTGCAGCAGGGCGGCGGCGACGGCGGTGGAGAAGGAGAGGCGGAGGCGGCCGGAGAGCAGCAGCAGCCCCGAGTCATCTTCCGGCAACAATGAGGAGAAATCCGGCAGTTCCAGTACGTATAAAGGCAGCGCCGGAGCGCTTTTAGGAAAGGCAGCTTGAAATCTAGCGCACCGCCGCTGTTAAATTTTTATATGCTGTTTTATAAGCATATAAGGTTTATGAAGGGCCTTTAGATTTCCCCCAACAAAACTTTGTTATAAAAGGCGAGATCACGTGTTTAGTGCTGAAATTGGCCGTGAAATACCCACCGGGCAATGGATGCCTAAAAATTTTTTTTTTTCTTTTTCCTTCTTTTTTTTTTCCTTTTTTCTTCTTCTTTTTTTTCTTTTTTTTCTTTTAATAATAATAAAAAAGAGTTCCGTGGTCAGCTCTTGAAAATATAATAACGTTAGTTCTGTGCCTGTAAATTCGGCAAAAAAAGGAGATCTTGACTCCTTTGATATCAACGTAATCCAGTGATTTTATAAAAGCCATGTGTTGCACCAGAAGTCTAGTTAGGAGCTGAATTCAAAGCCTTCACCGTTTTAACGATTGCACTAGAATAGCGTTTAACAGATAAAGTAGCCGCCTGAACTGTAGCAATATATTAAAAGAAGCAAATTAACCTAAAGCTGGCCTTTTTGTCTAAAGGAAGCCATTTTACTAAGGCACTGTGGCAATTACGTGTTGCCTTCTGTCCAACAGTTTGTTACTTACAATTGTTATTCAATCTGTCAAAGTCTGATTTTTTTTATGTGGGCTTTTTAAAAGGCTAAGCTAGTATACGGCCGGGGGAAAAATACCTCGACAATTAACTGTACCAGAAAAGGAAGTTTTTAAAGGGATAGCAGCTACGTTTAATGTAAAGAGCTCCTGAACCTTGAAACCTTTTATATTCTGCTTAACGAACTTTAAAACCGTAATGGCTAATCGAGAGGAGAATACCTCGATGCGGTGGAGAGCGTGCTTGAAAATAGCCGGCTAGGGGGAGAAGGAGACGCCTCAGCCTTCGGCTCAGGGGCTTTTCCTGGGCTCGGGACGCAGAGCCGGGATTAGGCCAGGGAAGGAGGGCGAGATGCAAGCGGGTACGGGCTCGGGGAGGGCTGGGCGCGGGCCCCCCCGCCCGCTGCAGCGCTGCCCGCTGCAGGCACCAGGTGATGGCTGCTCCCTGGGCAGCTCGGCGCGCGTGGTGGCGCCCGGCGGAGCAGCCTACAAAGGCTTTCCTCCGCCTCGTGAAATCCGCAAGAACCCCCCGCCACCACTCTTTCCTCCAGCTGCCCTCCCCGCGGAGGAAGCGAGGCCGGATCCCCGCGTCTCGGCGGGGGTTTCGCCCTGCACGCTGCCCGGGGCCGCGGCGCTGCAGGAGCCGGGGTGTGCCGGCGGGTCCCGGGCCCGGCTGCACGCACCCGCCAAGGCGGAGGGCTGGCGCCAAGCCCCGGACCCACCAACGCCGACCCCGGAGCGGGCAAAACGCGTCTTTTCCATGTTAACGTGCTTTGCCTGGGTGTTCCCCCATCCCTTCTCAGCCCCCGCCGCCGACCACCGCAGGATCTCAAATGTTTCTGCCTTTTTTCACTCCACAGGTGGACAACGTACGCGTAAAAAGAGATGCCCATACACCAAATACCAGATTAGAGAGTTAGAAAGGGAATTCTTCTTCAGTGTGTACATAAACAAAGAGAAACGCCTCCAGCTCTCCAGAATGCTCAATCTGACCGACCGTCAAGTCAAAATATGGTTTCAGAACAGAAGAATGAAAGAAAAAAAAATTAACAGGGACCGATTACAATATTACTCAGCTAATCCACTACTTTAAAACTCATAGCGTTTTTGAAGACGAGATTAAATTCAGATTTTGCCCTTGACAAGGTCAAGCCACGGGGTTATGTGGAGGAAGGAGGTGTGTATGTGGCKGGACTAGAAGAATCTAAGGTTTTACACACATGTAAACCTACTCTGGAACTGCGATGATGATTTTTTTATACATATATTTACATATCAACTGGAATCGATTTGATTTTGACCCACATGGGATCCATTTCCAAACGTGCACGTCACCTCTGAGTGCAAAATCCATACCTCTTACCTTTCCAGGCACTGCGGCTCACCCTGCCACCGCTTTCGGCAGGCACAGGCTGGGACAGCACTCCTCCATCCCCGGACTCGCCCACCCTCGGCCCTTTCTCGCCCCTGTGCTGCTGTGGAACAGCTGTTTGGAGATTGCCAGGTCGAGCTCACCCAACCAGGACCACTGCAGAATATAAATTCTGAGAAACCATCTTTTGTTCTTTCTTGGAAAAATATCTGGGTTAGAGGCAGTGTTCCATTGCCCATGGGTTTGGAATAAGGATTGAGTGACGGACACACACACACACACACACACACACACACACACACACACGCAGAGAATTAAAGGAAGGGGGGATGTCATGTCTACACCTTCCCGGGGCCAACCGCGAGTAGCTGTAATATGGATGTAGTGATGGTTATAGTAGTGTTTCCTTTAAGGGCATGGGGAGGGATGGGGTCGAGGGAAAAAAAAGACCTAAATGAAAGACTTAATTATTTACTTTAAAAAATCAGGTATAATTTCGCCATATATCGTAAAGAAACAATCACTAAAAATAAAATTAGAAAAATTTAATTAGCTCTCATTTTATTTATGACAACAGACTATGTGTTGCCATCTTTTCGGAGACAAATCATATACGAATACTAAAAATAAACTGRCAAAAAAGTGTGAATTTCACCATTTTAAAAGAAACAACTCCATAATGGAAACTAACCTTCTGGCTTCTGGCTCACAAACTTTCTTCAGGAAATACCTGTGGAGAACGACAGTTTAGCAAATACCACACAACACTTAATTGAAACTTGGAGTTGTGCAATGCACTAACATTGGATCATTAAAATAACTCGATTGCATGTTCGTTTAAAGGTGACTAGTGAGGAGTTTAAACAGAAGCCAAACAATGTAAATATGGTAATTTTGTTGTTGTCTACTTTAAATGTCATGAGCTCTACTTTGTCGCCCAGTCGACGTATGCAAAGAATGGAGAGTTGTTTGGACTTATTTTAAATATCTATAAATATATATATATATTTCCCTGCAGGAACCAAAGCGTGAGAAAAAAAAAATAAAAAAAAAAAAAAAAAAAGAGAAAAAAAAGGAAAATATTTAAAATTCTATATCAGTTTACAAAGGATACGGTGTTCTATCGTTGAGGTAATTTGCTGTCAAGAATATCTGAATGTATATTTCATACAGGAATGGTGTTTTACAAGACTTGTAAATAATAAAAAAAAAAAAGAACCCATGCCCTATTTTGTTCGAATGCCTTTTTTTTTCCTGGTTGGTTTTTTTTGTTGGCTTGTTGTTTGGGTTTTTTTTATTGTTCCTTTGGGGCTAAAGGGTGTGGTTTTTTTTTTTTTTTTATTGTTCCTTTGGGGCTAAAGGGTGTGGGATTTCTTTACATGTGCAACAAAGTGGTGATAAGAATGTTTTTGATTAATAATTTTTGCCAAATGGATGTAATTTCTTTGTCACAATTCACAAAATGCAATATCTTTATATGATGTCACTGTTTTCRATATGTATCATCTATATGTATATACAGTTTTCTTTTAATATGCGAAAGTATTTGGTTGCATGTATACAGTGGAACAGCGCACAAGGAAAATAAAAAAAAAAAAAGGAAACTTTATATTTTTATTCTGGTGTTACATTACTGCATGTTCTTTTATCCGATGTAACTCTGGGACCCGAAATTCTTCATGACCTTGTTCAGTCATTTGGGGCGAATTACTCTTCTTTTGTGAACTTCGTCGTTAAATMTTCTACTCTGGAGTTAACAAGTGAACCTAGGCTTGTTCGAGCATCGTTTCAGCGGGTCACAGGAAAAGGAAAATGAAGTGTGTTCATAGCTCGCTACACGTTAGGCCTTCTCCTTATCCTGCCAACACCGGCAGGGCAAGATCCTATGCTCGAGGCTTGGATGTGCCATTGCTGTTTGCTCCCTGCCACATGTGTCCAGGAGAAATGTTTGCAGTAGCACTTGGGATGCATTTTATAAGCTGGCACCAAAGGGAAGGTTCAAGCCAGCTGATGGACGTCGACAGAATTTGAGAGCCTTAAGAAAATTGTTGCCTTTGGGGAAAAAAAAAGATCTGCATGGCAGAGTGGTGGAAATGGACTGTTTGAAATTGTCCTTGATCTCTAAGGCAGGGAGGGGGAGACTGAGGCGGACAGACGGGGGAGGAGGGCTGGAGGGAGAAAGTTGGAGGGAGCAAGGGGGAAAAAACCCCTACTCCAAACAATAGCTGAGATAGGAATGTGTTTTGAGAAGAGTGTTTGAATCTTTAATGTTGACSCTAATCCTAATCAGGGGAAGAAAGTACATTCTGTTTTTTGCATTGTTTACTGGCTTTGAACTTCTGTATTGCTTGGACATCACCCATAACCTTGAGGTGAAGGACTTACTGACTTTGTGCCTTTGTTGACCACCGCCACCCAGCCAGCCAAAGTTTATCCAAAGGAAATGTTGAAAAGTGAGGGGGGAAAAGAGGGGACTTTGTTTGTTTGTTTGTCTAGTGTGCAAGGGGAAATGCCAGTTAAAAGGAGACAGACAGATGGACAGACAGACGGGAGAGACGGATAGAGGGATGGATGGAGAGCTGAATGKCAATGAAAGTTAAGCCTGCAAGCTTCCTTTCCTGGTTAAAAATTAACTGGTATTCAGAGCCAATCCCAGAGACAGTAAAAACATGGAGTTTCTGTGGTCGGGGTTTGGATTTCCTAACCCAATAAAATCACATCCTCTGTGTTGCTGTGACATTGCGGCCATAAAAAGTGTCCGTGACTTGTCCACTCGCCTGTACCAAATGCATCACTATAAAGGCAGCGGAGGCTCGCCCAGAGGTTTTTACACCGGGAGAGGAGCCACGATTGCTCTCCACCGCCGCCGCCGCCGCCGTCTGTCCGTCCRCCCGCCCGCCGTTCCGCCGCGGGGCCCCGGCGGGCGGGCAGACTGATGGACGGACGGACGGACGGACGGCGGCCGCGGTTTAGGGGCTGCTTTGCCACAAGATGGCGATCTTCAGATCAATGTCAAAGCCGCCCAGGGCAAGGGGAGCAGCCCTGCAAAGGGAAAAAAAAAAAAAAAAAAAAAAAAAAAAAAAAAAAAGGAAAGAAAGAAAATCTTGGCCTTTGTTCACTTTGCATCCCTGGAGCCACACGGGTAATTATTGCACTTACCGGGCTCCGCTGTACAAAAAGCCGCTCGGGATGCCGGGAGAGGGGGGAGACGCTGGGGCTTCTCGGTGGAGTTAAAGCCTCTGGGCTTTGAGTTAGGAAATCCGCGAAGGTAAGTGTTTTATACATCTACCGGCATGGAGAACGGCTAGGAGTGTGCGGTGACTGGAGTGGTACCCTGCGATCTGGGGTGGCCCTTGCCCCGACCGCTGAGCAGCGGGGAAAAGAGCTGTAGGGAGGGGAAGGGATGCAAAAGRTTGTTGATTAGGATGTGAAATAATACAGAAGAGACTTTCTAAGTTGCAGTTGACCTTTTATTTTCTCTTCATTTTGGCCAGCCGCGTGGAAAATCCACGGTATCTGGAAATATTTTTTCAGAGTAGCTTGTAGCATTCTTCCACTAGAAAAAAAAAGTGTAGCATTGGAAATATTATGAAACTTGACATTTATGTGTGGAACAGTAGGTGTCTTCAATCAAATAGATCTATGGCAACACAGTCTGCAAATGACAGACATTTCTGACGATCTTATTAGTTTTGAACTATAGTTTATTTAGGGTCGTTTGGTAACTTTAAAGGGTAGTCTGCTTCCTTGCAGCTGGACACAGATTGTGGTAAACAACTTTTGACATACTTATACTAAAACTGTTCATGTGATTGCATATTACGTCAATGTTCGTGCAAGTCCAGATTTAGATTTCAATTTTCTTTCTTTCCTTCTTTCTTTCCTTCTTTCCTTCTTTCTTTCTTTATCTGCACATGTGCTGTAAACAAACAATAGTCACTCATTCTCGTGTGCTCATGGCTGCTCTGGATTGTAGCTTTGAAACTCTATCCTCTCTACGAGTATCCCTAACTCCAGGTTACTTTCCATGCCCATAAAATTTTCACATGTTTTTCTTATGTCTCCATTTGAGAAGGGCGAGAGGGGAGGTGGTATTATATGGAGGAGATACTGGTTTGGCTATATATTTTAATACACGAGTTTCTTAGGACAGAGTTTTAAATATCTGGCCGGAAAAATGAAAAATATTATTTTGTCCTTGGTCTTGTATGTATGCAACGCGACTTGCCTGCAGCATTTTTTAAATTGTGCTTCCAGGGAAMTGTTGCAAGTGTAGTTAAAAGCACATGCTCAGTCGGCAGAGAGCAATTTTCAGATTATCGGAACCTATCGATTTCATCAAAGATGCTCCATTAAAAGCATCGGGAATGTTGATCCCTTTTGACTTCCCCTCAGCAATGCCAGGACGTGAGAAGCCACGTGAGAAGCAGGCAGATTTGAGGGTCCCTTTGCAACATTTCATTTTACACCAGTCAAGTTTAACTCCGCATATTTGATCAAATATTTATTTTCCCCCTTGTTGTTTCCCTGTCCCATTCAATACTTGGCTGAATAAATCAAAGGGACCCCAGCAGCAGTTAAAGCGCCCTCTGGTTACGAATTGTTTACTGACGGCCGCGGTCATAGGATAATATTTTAAAAAAACAAGCTTGTTTCTTACAATAACTGTTTATTATTTCACATTATTTGGGTTTGCATGTTTCGGAGGGAAGAGGGGAAGCCAACTCTGTCTACACTGTGTTTAATTAATCGTGTACTCAACTTCAGCTCACATACCACATCCAAACCCCTGGGAGGCTTTTTCATAAGCTCATTGGGTCTGTGTTTTGTTGTTGGATTTTGTTTTGGTTTTGGG